TATAGTACATGTACAATGCATGTACTGGTAAGTCCATATTTTCCTATAATCTTTTGACCCTAAGCTTGTGTGTTTGATCTTACATTTTGGCATTTTTTAATTACAATTTTTGCCCTGTTACAAAAGGTACATGTACGTGTACATATGCCTGGGTGTATAATCAGATAAATATACTGTGGTACATACATTAATTAAAACATGTACTTGTCCTTCAAATTTTGATATAATGATGGAACAACTACATGTACATTTTTACATGTACATGTACATGCATGTATGAATATTCCTAAATAGGAATGTTAACTATCTTTATATTATTCTCAATATGTTCTTCTCACTCCTAGTATAACAGTGACACTCAAGAAGGAGGAGTTTGACTGGAGAGGAGGGAACACTCGTACTATGCAGTTCCATCAAGCAGGAGGTGATAACCCTGTACTCAAACTCTCAGGGAAGACTCTTCAAGTCTCCATTGGTCCAGGATTACCCAGCAGCACTAGACCATCCCATCAGAGACTACCAGCTACCAAAGGAGGGAAGAGGCCAGGACTAGCAGCTCCTTCTTATCAGCAACAATCAAGAGGACCTCAACAGAATTTGGTAAGAGAGTGAGGATTAAGTGAGTCCTTGTGTGTATTGAAGGGACAATGGTACATTGTACATGTACATGTACATGTACACTTTACCATTACATGCACTAATGGGTATATATTTAGGCCATGGTTTCCCACAAAGCATGCTAAGTGAGCTAAACAGCATGAGTTTAATGAGCTGACGAGCTCTACAATGGTAGTACATGGCAACTTTTAAAATTCATAACAAATCCAAATTTGATTGGAATCAACTCAAAGTTAATACACAACATTAGGACATGTATATGTATCAGAAAAAATTATTAAAATAGAGAATTCTCTTCTAGCCATTTTTGATGAAATTTGGCCTGTGACCAAAGGCTATAGCCTTGGGTCATTGGCCCGATTTTTTAGCAACTTTAAAAATTCATAAAAAATCTAAATTTGATTGGAATCAGCTCAAAGTTGATACATAGCATAAGAACATGTATATGTATCAGAAAAAATTATAAAAATATAAAATTCCACATGTACATGTACATACATGTATGTATGTTTTCAATGTGTGCATATTGTACATATGTCAGCATGTAATTATATTTCTGCTCTTATAGTCAATAGCACAGAGAGGGAGATCACCGAGTAGTAAGAGCAGTTTTGTTAAAGGACGGACTCCATCACTTCACTCAAAGGGAGCTAAGGGTAAGGCACGTAGGGACTCCAGTAACACTGACTACTCACAGGCTGAATTCATGAAGACACCTCAAGGAGGAGGGTAAGAGGATTAGTAATGATTGTATCATAGCAAAATAACCAATGGACTGTAGTAGTGTATTTATATTGAAAGTTTGTGATTAGAATTGGTCTGCATAGCATGAGGCATAGGCGTAGGAATGGGGGGGGGGG